GGGAGGGGGGGTAAGGGGGGGATGGGGGTAGATGGGACAGCGGTGGGGAAGGGGGAGATGCGGGGGGGATTCACAGACTCGGGACCTGCCCAGACCCACTGGCTGCAGCCTCTCTGGCAGATCGTCCCGTCCCGGGGAACAAGGAGCAGAAGGAGGCAAAGCCGGATTTGTCAGACACGGACCAGCCGCGGGGGTTTCGTTGCCGTGTAGACGTGCCCTGACATTATGTCTACACTGCGATTAACACCCCCGGGGCACCTGTCTCCAAGCCCGGGGCAGCTGGCTCAGGCTTGTGGGGCTGGGGCTGCAGGGCTGTACCATGACAGTGCAGACATACGGGCTTGAGCCCAGCCACTGAGACCCACGAGGGGGGAGGGTTTCCCAACCCAGCGGGAACACAAGTATCTGCACCACAGTTCTGAGCCCCACAGCTTTATCTCCAGGAGCCCAAGTCCCATGACCCAGGCCAGCCCTGCTGCAAACTTTATCCCAGGAGAGATGGACTCTGCGGGTACGTCTCCATTGCAATGTCAGCCCTGCTGTGCGCAAAGCAGCCCCCTACTCTCCACTGTCACATAATGATGCTCTGGTTTGTAGAAAGTCTGCCTGGTGAGGTATCAGTTCAAAAGCCGTGATCTGTTGAACATTAATATCTTGTTGGATGGTGTGTGCTCGCCTTGTTGGGGACGTGATGAAGTTTTGCTCTGTGTGCCTTACTGAACTATGTTACGAAGTTGGGAAATGCCCACAACCAGCCTTTCTGGTGCCACAATGGAGGAGCAAGACTCGCTGCTGGCCCATTGAAAGTATCCACGCTCCCAAGGACTATCCCTCACATCGGAGCAAAGCAGCTTCCTAACAAGTTGGAAGAAACTATGAAAGAGGGGAAGAGACTGTGACGTTGTGCAGTCTATATGGTTTTATAAAAACTTGATAATAAGTCAATATAATGTAACTGAGATAGTTTTAGAGAAAATACGGTAATAAGTGAATGTAAGTAACTGGGATATGCCTCATGCAAAAGGTCTCTTGTAAGGTATCATTACAAAGCTTATAATCTACTGAGTGTGATCATCTAATTT